TTTTAGGGTTTATGGTTAGAGTTAAGGTAAGGGTTTTAGGGGTTTTTGGGGATTTAGGGTTAGGGTTAGGGTAAGAGTTATGGTTTGGGTTATCAATTAGCACTATGGTAGCATGATTCGACAAAGTACCTCAACTCGACAGAACACCGGTCCTTCCGAATGTGCAATTTGGAGGACCGCGATCACATTTAAATTGCCCCTTCTGTCATGTGTCGGCGGTGGGGCAGTTTCTTTTTTTTTTATTCAATTAATGTTGTGTTGTTTTGTTTTATTGTACAGGAGCAGTGGGGTTGAAGTGAGCGGCAGGCTGAGTTGTAGGAGGTGAATGGTTTTTTTTTTGTGTTGCACTGGCTTCTGCTGGAGAGGTCTGTTCACGAGTGGCGTGTAGTTTCATGGACGGTGCCCTCTTGCCAACCAGCCACGGTGAGGCCCAGTGCTGCTCTTTGTTGTTTATATTTGTTTTAATGGCCTGACTGGCTTTTAATGTATTGAGTGTGGTTTTATTCTCTATGTTTAAGTGTGTGTGGGAGGGGCGGATGTTGCCATTACCGATCAGTGTGGTCTTGTAATTGTTTTAATCGGCCCTTTTACATTGTAAAATAAATTTCTGTGTTTTTGTGTGGGGACATCACGTCTCTGGGGTAACGAATTTGTGTGCTCTTTCTAAATTGCCTTTATGAAAGGTATTCCGTCTGGTTGTGCGGTCACAAGGAGAATGATGTGTTTTCTGCATTTTTGTAGTTATTGTCCAACACTCGGGCAAGAAGAAGGGAGGTGGACTGACGCTGCACATAAATGGCAGATGGTGTAATCCCGGTCATGTTACAGTTACAGAGACTGCAGTAAGGATGTGACGTTACTAGCGGTTAGTCTCCGGCCGTACTACATGCCGAGAGAGTTCTCCCACGCCATTACTGTCCGTGTTTACGTTCCACCAACAGGCTTTCCGGACACAACGTGTGACTTCATCCACTCTACAATTGCAAGGCTCCAAACTAAACACACAGATGCTTTTTTGCGATCTCTGGGGACTTCAATCATGTAACACTGGATTCTACCCTCACTCATTTTTACCAGTTTGTTGAATGCCCAACTAGGAAAAATAGGACAATAGACCTCATGTATGCAAATGCAAGGGATACATACAGCTCCACCCCGCTACCCCCACTGGGAAAGTCGGACCACAACCACATTCATCTTCAGCCAAGGTACAAGGCACAAGTACAGAGGCTACCAGTTGCTACACGCACCTTCAGGAGGTGGACACCATAAGCAGAAGAGGCCTTGAGAGCCTGTTTTGAATCCACTGACTGGAGTGTGCTACAGAATGGAGAGGATCTAGAGAAGGTCACACATTGCACAACGGACTACCTGAACTTCTGTATGGACGTTGTAGTTCCCACAATGACGCCACTTCCCTAATAATAAACCTTGTGTCAGGAATGCCGGCGGCTCGGGAACGGGAACGAGGCATGGTGCACAAAAAGGGCGGACGACCCACTTGCGGCTCCAGGAAAACAAAACAGGGTTTATTAAATATAACAGAAAACACTATAAAACACCAAAACCAAAAGGACCACGGGGGGTCAAACACTAAAGGGAATAAACTAAGACTAAATATTACAAAACTAAAACCAGGAAGGAAAACACAGGACACAGATCTAACCAAGACAATCAATAACACACTCATAGACAAATCAACAACACCAGAACACAATATAGACAATGAACCACTGGGGAACTGAACACAGGCAGGAACTAAAATACTAATGGGTAACGAGACTAACACAGGACAGGTGAGGCTAATTAACAAAACCAAGGAAACAGGGCACAGGTGAAACTAATGAACTCAAAAGGAACTGAAAACAGGGAAACTAATAACTAACCAAGGAAACAGATACTAACACTGGGGAATCTAAACAGGTAAAGACACAAGCAGAGGCACAAGGAACAAAACCAAAAACCATATACAAAATCACCAAATACAATAACTAGACAAACTCAACTGAAACACTAGGGAGCAAAATACAAAAACAGGAGGCAGGATTCAAACATAAGACAAGAGGGAACTCAGGACCGAGGGGCAAACAGACAGCACATGCTTAATACATTGAGCCACGAGACCAGACAGGAAACAGGGGAGAAACAAGGACTGACGTATGGACGGGATGACCAGCACCACCTGCTGGTCAAACGGGGAAGGGGCACGGAAGGACCACAGCGGGGGGCTGACCCTGACACCTTGGGTAACCAGTGATGTCAAAAACTTCCTTAATAAGAAGAAGAGGGCGTTTAAGGATGGTGACTTAACTGAACTGAAGCGTGTGCAGAAGGAGCTCAAAGAGCGTCTGAAAGAGGCAAAGGAGTCTTACAGGAGGAAGGTTGAAAGGTAACTGGAAGAAAACAACATGAAGGAGGTATAGAAGGGGATGAAGCAGATTACAGGATGCGGGAAAAACAGCACCGGGCACAGGGTGAAATGGCTAGAGCAAATCAGCTAAATCATTTCTATAACCATTTTGATGACTCTGCCACTACTGCTAATAGCCTTGCCATTGTAACTACAGCGACCACCCCATCACATCCCCCACCATTGTCTGCTGGGTGTACAGCGAGCAACTCAATGCCTCCATCAACAACCTGGGACATTCCACTGGTCACTGATTGCTGGGCATTGTCTGCTGATGTCTCAGCCATCGAAATCACACCTCCGTTTCCAACCTGTGACATTCCTGTGATCTGCTGGGCAGTGTCTGCTGATGGGTCTGCTGATGGAACAGCCATTAAATCCACACCTCCTTTGCCAATCAGTGACATTCCACTGCAAACTCTCCCCTCCCCCCCACCACTGCTAGCAGACTCAGCAAGTGTCCCCTCACCCCCCCACTATTACTGTAGACCAGGTAAGGAGAGAGTTGAAGAGGCTGAAACCGAAAGCTGCTGGGCCAGATGGCATCTGTGCAAGATTGCTGAAGGCCTGTGCTGTGGAACTGGGGGAGCCACTCCAACATATCTTCAACCTGAGTCTGCGTCTGGGGAGGGTACCTACACTATGGAAAACATCATGCCTGGTACCGGTTCCCAAGAAGCCAAACCCCAAAGATCTCAACCACTTTAGGCCTGTTGCCCTCACCTCACACGTAATGAAGACCCTTGAGCGGCTGCTGCTCCACCTCCTCCTAAGACCCCAGGTTCGCCATGCGCTTGACCCCCTACAGTTTACCAGGAGAATGTGGGAGTGGAGGATGCCATCCTCTATCTGCTACACATGGTGTACTCTCACTTGGACAATGGAGGCAGTGCTGTGAGAATCATGTTTTTGTATTTCTCCAGCACTTTCAACACCATCCAGCCCCTTCTGTTGAGAGACAAACTGCTGCAGATGAGAGTGGACCCAAGCATGGTGACCTGGATTACCGATTACCTCAATGAGCAGCCCCAGTTTGTTAGACTGGGGGACATCACATCTGGTGGTCAGCAGCACTGGGATGCCACAGTGAACTGTTCTTTCTCCTGTACTGTTCACCTTGTACACCACGGACGTCAAGTACTACTCTGAGTCGTGCCATATGCAGAAGTTCTCTGATGACACTGCAATTGTAGGCTGTATCAAGGATGGGCAGGAGGCTGAGTACAGGAGGCTTGTGGAGGACTTTGTGGGATGGTGTGGAACCAACCAGCTGCAGCTGAACATCACCAAAACCAAGGAAATGGTGATGGACTTCAGGAGGTCTGCCCCTCCATTGCTGCCTGTCACCATCGACGGGGTGAATGTGGAGACTGTCAGTACATACAAGTACCTGGGGATCCACCTGGACAATAAACTGGACTGGTCTGCCGGTACTGAAGCACTTTACAAGAAAGGGCAGAGCAGGCTCTACTTCCTTAGGAGGCTGGGGTCCTTCAGTGTCTGCAGTAAACTCCTGCTTATGTTCTACCAGTCTGTCATGGCCAGTGTCCTTTTCTATGCTGTGGTATGTTGGGCAGGCAGCACTAGGAAGAGAGATGCTGGACGACTGGACAGGCTGGTGAGAAAAGCTAGCTCTGTGGTGGGCATGGAACTGGAGTCAATCTGTCCAATCAACGTTGTCTAAGCAAAAACTATTTATGGAACTCTCACAGACTTCCAGTGAATCAGAGAAGAGTGGCTGCAGAACACTGGGCAACCTCCACTAAGAGGACCTGACACTGCAGAGCCGGACATCATATCAATTCTCTGCCGGACATGATGCTACAGAAATAGCAAATTTAAAATGATTAACTATTAACATCCTTTCCGGTAGATTTCAATGAGATTATTAACGTCCGATCCACATTTTGCACCAATATCACGGAAATAGCGAATATATATTTTAAAAGAGATGATTCCCAGTGTTCCGGAGCCAGATACTCTTGGTGAAGCATGGCGTCCAGGTGGGCTCTGAAAACGTCATCAAAGCATAGTCACCAGTAAGCTTTTGTCTATTCTCAATTTAGACAAAGCGCACTTGAATCTTCCATAGACTTCCAGTGAAGCATGGCATCAATGGGTGTATCCTTCCCTGCCAAAGAAATAACATACCATGTTCCCAAAGCCAAACTCTAATGCTAAAGTCAAATTTGTCCAAATCCTTCTCTCCCTTTATTTCTGCTCAAATGGCTCTGAACCTCATTGTACCCACTGTACGCCTTTCACCTTGAGGGTGGGCCTACAAGATGATTCATTGTAGCCGTTTCAGTCTGGTTTACTTAGGCGGGCCAGCTACTAGACAATCACCATTGAACACAATTCCAAGGTTTAGCCCCAGTAATGCATCTTGGTAACCTCATTGTATGTGGGGCTCTCTGCATTTTTTGTACCATCCACAGCAGTCTTCACTGGACCGTAAATTGACACACAGACCTATTCACCAAGGTGAGCTCCGCAGAACATAGCTAGTCAAACATCAGAGCATGAAAACGTCTCCAGGTTTTCTCACATATATGAGACAGCCTGAACGAAATCAGTCACACACGTTTGCACTTGTAAACCTCTTTTATTTTTACATATATCCCAAAACACCTGTTTTCTGGCAATGTCATCCTATGTGAAACACAATGCTGGGCACCTATCATCATGCTCTCAGCTGCTTGGAAGAGCTTGTTCATTTACATAGGTTCTGCATGTGGTCATGTAATATTCAATCGCATTTTGACCCCTCAGATTAGCATTCTACTATTAATCATTATCCTATTAAAAAGCTCAACCTTCTGAATCACTGGCTTGAGCATGGTCACTCCCACACACAGCTCGATCAGTTTTGTACACCATAGTCCTGAACACAGTCACCTTCAGCGTCACCACTGACCTGAATGCTAGTGTCCCAAATGAAATGGAAACACTATTACTGCCACCCATTGAACTCACCTGCAGAAAGTGCTTTGGCAAAGTCATTTGGCAAACCACAAGCTGTTTGCTGTAGATTTTAGAGGGGCTGCTACTCATGCAAGTCACATGGGTGTTGGTTTGTAGATAGTAATAGTGTAGCATGAATCCCCCCAATTAGTATGACAAGTCCTTCTAGGATCTCCCCCCCCCCCTCACCAAAGAACCAGAAAACCTCATTAGTATTATATTTAACAAAAAATGAAGGATCCATACAAAATGCAAGCCCCTCCAAGACACGCATGAGTTCTACAACATTATGCATCAGTTTTTCACCAGTTGCTGCAACGTAGGTTCAGAGCAAACACCAGGAATCTATGCCAGGAAGCACAGAGCACAGGAGTACATCCTGGAGAGGAACTCCATAATTCCCAGAAAACATAATCACAGGTAAATAATCCCAAACTGGATCATACTGAGACTATTTGCAATTGACCAAGGTCACATCATAAACAAAATACACCAAGGGTATAAGAAAAAAAACAGAGAAATAAATAGATATTAACCGCATAATTGAGATCATTAAATATAGTTAATAATTTTAATAGACAATAAATACATTTATATAGTATGAAGAAATAAAAAAATCTATATTAAAAAAAAACCACAGCATACAATAACAATAATAATGGAATTTGCATGTTCTCCCCAGAGTACTCCAAAGACTCGCAATCAGGCTAACTGATATCTCTCCATTACCAAATTGCGATTGCATATCTGAGTGCATGTATGCATCCTGTAATCAACTGGCATCATGGCCAGCTGGCACCTCTGCCTTACGCTCTGCTGTCTGGGATAATAATAATAAATTATTATTATTATAATAACAATAATACTTAATAAATTATCCAAGTTTAAATGAGATAAGCCCCAAAAAACATTCTCCTATGATCGGTTTGAACCTGAGTCAGGTCTTCGGTACCATACTGAACCCTCAGTTTAGACCCCATCTCCAGCTGGTATATCCCAGCTGTATAGATGGACTTCTCAATGGTGTCCTTGCAGAGCAGAGTTTCAGAGGCAGCCATCATAGTCACAAACTCAGGGTAGCTGTCACGCCAAATATCCACCCTGGGACCCAGGTAGATAGTGCCTCTTGGGCTGTTGCACACTTCAGGCTTCCTGTAGGTAATCTGCAGGTAGATGTGATACAAGCCAGACAAAGGCACAGTAAGCGTGCAGTTGGCATACGTGAATTCTTGGATGTGTGCAGTGTCTCCTTTGTCCATCCAAAGCACGTATTTCTCCTTGGTTTGGGCTGAGTCAAGAGCTGCTGCTGCACAGGGTAAAAGACCAGACCAAACAAGTGAAGACCAGACCAAACCTGACTGACCTGTTATAGAACAGTGATGTACATCCATACATTTCCTGTAACCTCCTATCCTATTTAGGGTCATGGGGGTCCGGAGTCTAACCCAAAGGCTATGGGCACAAGGCAGGGGACAACCCAGGATGGTCCACCAACCCATTGCAGGGCACACTGACACATGCACATCTATGCGCAATTTGGTAACTCCAGTTAACCAGCAAAAACACTCACACACACACACACACACACACACACACACACAAACATACACATGTCAGGTAAACATATCTTTATGGGGACCACTCATTCATTTCTATGGGAAAAATGCTAACACTAACTATGACAACCTTAACCCCTACCCAGCCTTAACCACAACCATAAGTAACCAAGCAAAATATAAGAGCTTTTGCATTTTTAGTTTTTTCATTGCAGTCACTGATTTTTATTAAATTGAGTTTTCCCTTATGGGGACCAGTTTCAATTTAAACTCAATTTAAAAAAACGGGTATTCATCAGGTTGTGGTCCCCATAAGGTAAGGTATACCTGCTTGCACACACACACACACCACTCTACTGGTTCTCGTACTTGTACACACAGCAAATAAAGCTTAAAAATTTAATTTCCTTTCAAAACATGCCCAAAGTGATAACTATTTTTGATTTATTGATATCATGGATAAATGGATGAAATTAACAGTATACTGTTCAGCCCCATTGAAAGACCAAGCTAAAATAATAATTCATAATTAGACTCACAACCAAGGAAGTCACATTTACCTGTCAGGTGAAAAGCTGGTTTTGAGCCAGTCTGTTGTTCGGTGAGACCTCCTGCCCATATGGAAAAGATTTTTTTAAATTAACATATGACTGTGTTTTATCATAGAAGCGCTTTATATAAGACTTAAAACAAATATACAATTCATATTAACTTAATGTCATTAGACATCTCCGTTATTCATGAAAGTCCTTTGTTCATGTAAAATACATATTAAATTAATGTTTTGTCAGACACTTATGGTCTACATTGATGAACAATGCATATTATATGATTTTTTGTCAGTATTAGTTTTTATGCATAATTCTTTGAAGGAACTCAGTTGAACCATGGACAGTGGTTCCAGCCAATTAGAATGAGCATTTTGAAAAGGAAACATCCTTTTTCAGTTTTAACATAGTTGAGTTAATCTCACTAAATTTTCACATCTAATTAAATCATATATGTGTTCCATTAGAATAATAAAAAAACAAAATACAATTTTAAGAAACAAGAAATGCACACATTTCTTACTAAACCCATATGTAATCAAATACGGTAAAATGTAAAGTTCGTGTAAAAGTAGTATATTTTTCGTATAGGCTTTCCCCTTGAGTGCCTTACAAGTCAATTGTGTTTGTGGTATGAATGCGCTCATTTGCTTACTTGTAGCGAACATTAAAATACATCATGCTTTGCCATATATAATTGAAATTAAAATGTTTCATAGCCATATATGAACTATGCTGTTTTTCATATGGGTGTTAAAAATAAAGGACGATGAGACGAGATACAGACTTATTCATTCATTTAATGCTGCATCATAGTGAAAACGCTGTGAAAGAATATGAGAGAGACGCACAACTTACCGGGCGTTATTCTTTCGGCTGGCTCCGACTGCTGTACAGAAAGGACACCAGTGTAAGGAACCATCCTTCATTCAAGTACACCGTGCGCAACATTGCTTTTTTGACCGAAACGTGTTACCTCAATACTTAATTGAAAGTTATCTAGGCTATATAATACACGTTTCTTAATCATTTCGGCGCTGTCGCATGCATATGCAAATAAGGTGGATGTACAGAAAACGAACCCGACTTTACCTTGTCGGTCAACGGGCCGCACTGCCGAAAATGAAGGTAGAAGATAAGCAGGACGCATCCCAGTAAGATGAATGCCGTGGCTATACGCAAGGAGCTTTCCTGGCGCTTCATCTCCCTGCAGTGGCTCATCAGCACGTGGAGCGACCTGTCCTCCTCCATCTGAAGCGATCTGTCCTCCTCCATCTGAAGCGTCCTGTTCTCGGCCATCGCGCACATCGCATGGCTCTGATTCCCGCAGCGGACCATGTTCGCTAGAGTTCGTCTCCCGCTTATCTGTTCTAGGATGAAAGCTGGACCGTTTATGCATCCTCTTAATAACACAACCCTGTATTTATACGGCGCAATATTTTTGCTCCGCCCATTAGTATTCACATATGTCACAATTCCAGCTTTGATTTGTCTTTCAGCATACCGGAAATTGTTTGGTGAAAGACATTTAACTTTCAGAAGCGATTTATCACCCGTGAATCGAGGGCGGGGGTGGGAGTACGTGTTTCATTCACAAAACTTTTAAAGCGTATTTCAGCGGTAGCCCACGTTTAAATAAATCTGTAATATTTAGTTGCTGTTCCGTGTTTAGTGTTGTTACAGTTTTTTTAAATGTTGATTTTATCGTTATACTGTTTTCTGTTTTTATTTTTAATCCAGTTTAGTTTTAGTTAGTTTTCAGTGCACCAAATGCACCAATTAACCAACCCCCAGGCGTCTTACCAGCCCATTATTTTTTTGGGAAATTCACCAGTCGTTTTAGGGTAAGGAAACCTGCCTTAATCCAAAGGAAAAATGACCAAATGGAATATGTTTCTTTAAGTGATTTCCACCAAGGAAGAAAAATACACAAGTCATTACTTTAGCTGAAATTGGAGTAAACTGCCAAATTAGTGTGTTTTTAGTTAAATAACCATTTAAACGCATAGACAATAGATAACGATATAGTTGAGGTTTTGGTTTGGCTAATGCATGATGGAGTTGTGATTCACAAACACATGATTTCTCCTTTCATCACCACAATTTCCTATTTTAATGAATCTCCCCTAAACTCCTTCATGGTTTTGGAAACATCGCGTCTTCTATTTTCACTGCCTTTCCTGTGTTGCAATCCAAAGTGAACATCATCTGCAGAGAATCCACCTTCTTGATCTCCTAAGCATAGGGCTGCAATGGTTCTTTGTATTCACTTCAGGCCAGAGTTCCTTAACCCAGTCCTAGGGGACCCTCAGCATTCCCATGCATATGTTTGGTTCCTTCCAGTGCCCACCACATCTGAATCATATATTTGGTGCTCTTGGCTCAGCTGTGCTGAGAGCTGGAGGGAGCAAAGATGTTGGCTGTCTGAGAGTTTCTGAGGACTGGGTGACAGAACACTGCTTTAGGTTATTCTCATTCATTATCTGCTTATTTGTGTTTAGCTGGAGGAACTAGTTCAAGTTTCTCAATAGTATATTATTATAGCGAATTTGAAACATGTAGTGTATTGTACTTTGTAAAATTTCAAGTTAATTAAAATACAGGACACATAAACCAAAGTTTGACGTATTTAAAAATTGGTTGATTTTCCACACAGATTGTTATTGACCCTTTAGAAAGTTATGCGCCTCTTCAAATACTGGTCTCCTCTCAAAATATTGATCGACTACAGCTTTCAGAACATATCGTGCAAATCAAGTCTCACGTGTACTATGCCTATCTCACGCACAACAATGGAGCCATTTGTTTTCAGTCTCTTCCCAAGTAGCTTGGCGTTACTCATTAACAGGATGTATTGATCTCCACTGCAGGAACATATTTTCTGCAGGTGGGAAATTGCACAGTAATGCCTCCTGACAGGTTAAGAAATCTTTGCTTTAATTTATAACTCATTATTTTATCTAATTAGTACTGTTTGTATTGTTTATCATAAGTTGACCTTTATTTAAAGATCTTATCTGTGTGGTTCTTAGAGCAACGGTCCAGTCACATTCATTGTAAATTTGACCTTACTTGGCCAATAAAACAGATTCTGATTTATATTAATTTCTGCATACCCTGGACGGCTTAGTGAGTGTATTAAGCTTGCACAAGCAGTAAATCATACATATCAAACTAAACTAGGCCTAAGTATTTATTACTTGGAAAAGTACAATATCAGCATTTATTTACACAGGTATTTGTTTAGCAGACGTTCTTGTCCGAGAAGAATGTCATTTAACCACACAGGGTATGGAAGGCTATGCATCAGACTAACTAACTCATAGCAGCATCCTTGATCTGCAGAGATAAAAGCAGTAAAACAGAGTTTTAAGCAAGTGCAAGTGGCTTCAAGAAAGCAGGTGTGAAATGATGCTTGGGAAAAATGGGTTTTCAGTGATTTTTTTTAAAAGGAAATTCACCGCACTGCATATAGTTATATTCTCGCCCCAGTCATATACTGGCTATGCAAATGGTGCATTTTGACTATTCCTGTGATTTGTTTGATGGCTATGTTACCTGCAACTACAGAGATTTATTTTTAAATCTTGATGATCTCGTAAGTGAAATGTATGCCACAGTTCAAAATTCACATTAGGCCTATATAACCTGACAAATTTCTCATTGTGTGAAAAACATGTTGCCAAAAAATCAGATGGTAGGACTTGGGGCCCCTATAAAAGGCTGGGCCCCCCAGAATCTGCCAGAGTATTCATGCGCCTCTGATACCACTACAAAATTATAGTTTGTACTTTAATTTACACTTTAATATAAAGCATATTTAGTATTTAATTACATACTGATTTATAAGATATATTTATAAATGTGCATCACGTGTGACTCCTCTGAAGTCACTCTATGCAAACTGCTAAGCTAAGATTCTTTGGAAGAGCATATGTACTGATAAAATTTAAAAATACAGCCACAAGTGTGGAAAATTTTGCCCATCTACTGTGCCTGTTTTTATAGTAGCTAACTTCTTTAGTCAGTCTTAGAAATATCATGTGATGTTATAGTGAATGAGTTTTGTAATTTTCCAGCCTTGTTAGTCTGATTTTTTTGTTATGATTTGTGAAAATGCATCTTATTGCATTTAGCGTTTAATGTGTGTGACATAGTGCTGATTATTTTAATTAAAAATTCATTTCCAACATAATTCTTCATTTATGTCTCTTTCATTCAGGTATTCTTTTTATGGGCTGCTCTGAAAACCTGAGGCATGCTAGGTTTATCTGTATGATCTATACCATTATCTATACTCAGGTACTCAGCTGTACATATTCATTCTTTTATCGGCAGACACTGAAACCTACCCCTTTCCTTGTTTCAATTAGGTGTAGGTGGAGGTACTATGAAACTACTAGTAATTGTTTCTGCTACCTGGAATGCCCCGCCTCTCACTCAGTCTCAATTTCATTGACTCAACCTAATTCGTTTGTAGCAGGTTAAGAACCTGACCCAAGGACACCTCTTTGTGCTGACAAACAAAGCAGAAAAGTGTGATGCAACTCTCCCTATGAGGAAATACAGGCACAATTACAGGTTGTTGCATGCATGTTCTATTTTTAGATACAGAATTTTTTTCTGCCTGTAAAATTAGTGTATGGAAAAAGTAAGTGCCAAGTTCCTGTGCTTGACTTGCAAATGAAGTTACACAACTAAGTAAAACCACAGCTTCCTTTAAAAAACAAATTTTGACTTTTCTTAAAATCCAAGCAGATGAAAACGGAAAACAGGGTTAATTCTGTTCCTCCTTCTGTTCTCCAAGAAACTGTTACTGTGTATCCACTTCTTTATGCCCCATGGGGCCAATGCTGTACTGTAAGCCATTATTGGAATCATTATTATTTTAAATCAAATTGGCAGATATAACTGCTGGACACACATATAATGCACAGCAATCTCTGAATGCTTTTGCACCTAATATTTTCCCACTTTAGTTAATTTACTTGCCACTTTTCTCCTCTACATAAAATAACAAGAAAATTTTGATAAATCTGTATGATGATAGGAAATGCTCTGTCCCCCGATTGTATGAGTGCACAGCTAAAAATAAATTGTTTTTAAGACATTAGGCTCCATCTGTATTTGAAATGGAGACAGGCTTGCCGCAGGGAATAGAGTGACTCAATGATCATAACATTCTTTACTCTGGTGCCATAATACTGTGACGGAGGCAACTGTTGCATCATCACCATTACAGTGTGGATTTCCCGAGGGACAGCTGGCCTCACTGTATGCCTGTGCTTCAGAACATTATGATTTCACTGCAGCAGTGACTCAAGAAGCGCAGAATAAATTACAATTTCCTGTCCTTTTCATGTAAACATTTTATTTTATACTGATTCGTATTTATGTATGCTCTTCACAAAGCGTGATCTGATGAAACCAAGACTTGTATGTCTTCCAGCACTGTGTCATGGAAAACATTTCATCATTCACTATAAAAATTATAATAAGTCAATATACTAACAAACATAACTAATAAAAGGCATATTAACTTCTGAGTAGACACCACGACACTCACCCGCCCACACAAAACCTCCCCCACGCACCTATATCTGTCTGACTTTGCAACCCCCCTCCCCCCCCCCAAAACAGATACTCATGTACGGAAGAAAATTTGAATCAATGAACAACCAAGAAACAGAAAGTGACAGAACAAACAAGAAAAACAAGCCAAGAAAGGCAGGGCACTGAGAAATGGCAAACAGAAAGCATGAGTGTGGGAAGAATAAAGGAGCTGGGGAATATCCAGGTTTGCAGCACAGCGTTGAGACTATTCAGTTTGCGAATCCTGTTGCAATTTTCTGAATTTCTGTATAAATTTGACCTAAAACGTGATCATTATCTAAATCATAAAAATATGTAAAAGGAACCCAATGAAACAAAGTAATATAAAAAATGTAATATATAAAAAAACTTTATCAGGTCATTTATTAATCAAAATGACCCAACAGTAAATATCTTTATAGGAATAAGAAAGTTAACTTGTGTTTGCAATAGCAGGAAGGTGGGCTATTATCCATCTCACTGTCTACCAAATAATTAAATGTAAAATATGAAATTACCAAGATATGGATCACATAAGTCAAAACTGCAATTAGAGATGTAGAAAGGGCAAGCTGGAATGTGGAATAGGTGTGAAATGGTATGAGGATCATCATGAGTTACAGATGGGCTGGTAACTTGGTGGATTAAGACAGCATTCACCTGCAAAAAGGTGGACTGTCTGGCAGGGAGCTAGGAAGCAAAAACATGGACCATCTGGGGGTCTCCCAGGACCGGGTTGGGAATGACTGGTGTAGGAAACTTTGGATCGGGATGATAAATTGAATCTATTTTTCAACTGCCTCCATCCCTTCCACTACTTTTTGACCTCCCTTTGACCTTTCCCCAAAGGCCATCGCTGCCACTTCCCCTGAACAGACTATCTGCCCCTGCTGATCAGGACAGGGTGGCTGAAACAGGAAAGGCTGTGAGTTG